CCTGGTCCTGCCCTCTCCCAGGAGTTCCCAGACCTGGCCTAGGGGCTCCAGCCGCGCCCCCCCCCCCGCCCACTTGGTAGGCAAAGACTGGACTGGCCCCTACACCTGTCCTGGCAAGGGCCTTGTGTGTACACTGAGGGGATGAGACAGGCCTGCTCCAGGCACTGTGCCACCGCCCCCTGCCTTCCCTGGGCCCAATGTCCTGCCCCTGCATCCCCTGGCATGCACATACCAGCATTAGTGGAGGCGACAGGAGGGGGCGGGGGATGTGGGCAAGCCAGGCAGAGGTTAATGGCAGAGATGAGCTCCTGCTGGAGGCAGAGGGAGGGGCTGTGGGTCCCCCATCCCACCCTGCAACAGCACCAGATGATGAGAAAAAGGCTGCTCCCTGCAACACCCCATTGGTGCCAGAAACACCCAGAGACCAAGTCTCCATCACCCATTCTGCAGGTGAGGAGACCGAGGCAGGGGTCTCAGAACGCAGGACAACATTGGAGACCAAGCCCCAAAGCCATGGGGGTCCCTGTCACTGCCTCAGGGGGTAGGGACCACCTCCCTGGGCCCAAGCTTGCCCCCAACATGTGGGGTGGGTCCCAGTGAGTGGGTTATGACCCACCCCCACGCCCCACTCTTGGATAGAAAGTGGGACAGGCCCTGGGCACAATGTGTGCCAGCTGTGAGGGAGCAGATGTGCATAGAGAGCCTGGGGCAGAGATCACAGGGGTGTGGAGGGCTGGCATTGATGTCCTGCATTGTCTGGCCAAGGATGGTAGGGATGGTCATTTGTGTACCTGACAGGGTGGCCTTACTTGCACCCCGTGCACAGGCCACTGGGCTGCAGCTGCAACTGAGCTCTCAGGACACCCCTACAGCAAGCTCAGGGCCCAGTTGAGACCCCTGCCTAGACTCCTCCCAGAAGCCCAGAAACGCACCCAGGTCATGCCCCTTGAGTGCTGAGTTCCTCTGGAGGTGCCACTACCTCTCCTCCCACCCAAATTTCTAGGAAAAAAAAAAGGCAGTCTACGAGAGTGGCCTCCATGGCTGGTGCTGAGCACACCCTCCCTGGCCTCCTCCTGTTCCCAAAATCTGGAGTCCTGGCCTCCTCCCTCCTCTCAGGGGCCCCTTGGTCACCTGGGCTTTGCTGGGCTGTTTGCTTTGCGTTCTGCAAGGCAGGGATCCTCGGGATGGGGGCTTCCTGATCCATAACTCTCCATCCCGTAGATCATGGCAACAGCTTCCAACCAGCCTATCCCCTGTGCTGGCGGCTATTGCCTCTCCTCAGGGGTCAGCCAGCAAGGGGCAGGGAACCAGACTCATCTCTAGGACCAAGTGGCCAAGGCCTGGGATCCCCATTCCCACTATCTCAAGGTGACTTGTGTCCCTGCCCTCTCTGAGCAGTGTCCATGATGAGGGGACTGGGCCTGGCTGAGCACGTTCAAAGCTGGGTTTGTGTGCAGAAGGAGCAGGCCTCCTGGTCCCCACTCACCACAGGGCTGCTGGCGTGACGGCTGCTCAAGCTGTCTCTCAGCTCCAGGCTGCCTGCATGGTCAGCTGGTCAGCCAGGCCAGGCCAGGTGGGCAGAAAAGAGAAAGCTGGCATGCTGTGTCACCCATAGCCCTCCGCGCCCCATGGACTTGATGAGGAGAAATGGGGCCACCCAAGTTGCATCAGGGAAGGCGGCACTGGGGCAGGAGGGAGACCGAACTGGGCACTCATCCTTACATCAGTATCCTTGCCCTAGGTTCTGAGGGCAGAACCACTGAGCTCTGTTCCTTACAGTCGCCTGTTGTGGTTGAACAGGGAGACCTGGGCCGTGACCTGTCTGTCACCTGCCTGCACAGACTGGGAAACTGAGGCCTGGCTCATAGGTCCAGGACATGCTAGACTCTGGATGCAGTGCTCTTCTCTAGCTGCCTCATTTGAGG